TTAAAGGACTCTATTGCCTTATTCTTCATGTTTTGTAAAAAAAGGTGATTAGGGGCCAAATTAATGATGTAACGGTACTGATTAATAAATGTCCAAGTGAGCTCTTTCCAAGAACGGATGTGAGGTTGATCTAGTTGAATATACCACCTTGTAGCTAAGCTATAAGGCTATTTTGAAACACATGCATCAATAGTTTTTTATCATCGTTATAGGCAGTCATTTTTTTATAGTACATAATGACATGTGTGATTAGACATTTAATACCATTTTACTTTTCAAACTCAGAGATCTTGAACTTTAACGAGATTATAACATCTGAAACCAAACAAAGGCTATTTGCATCCATAGAGCCATAAAAATTTATACTTTCAACGACTCATAGTCTCTTCTCTAACAAGTTTATCTTATGTTTAAACATTGAATCCTCTAAACTTTTAATCATTTTTAATTTCAACTTATCATTCTTTATGAGGTCAACTAAGTTAGGGATCAAGACTGTCTTTATTACTTTTTAGTGAATATAAGATTAGCAAAACTTTAAAATTATCCTTAAGTTATGTAGATGGTATTCTTATATAAGTATACCCTACAGAGAATGTGAACTATTGTGATGATGCAAATTGAGTAGAATAGGCTTGAAATGGCATGTAGCTAGAAGGATATAGATGGTCAACAACATCTTACAATGGTAGTTTTTAAGTCTAGCCTTTTTTTGTACAGTCTTCCCTTTGTTTAGCTTGCTCAATGTTTTTAAAATTTTGTTCAACCTTTTTTTGAGCTCTTCTTAGGCTCTCTCCAATTTTTCAACGTGGCTTGCAATATTTTACTCCATTTTTTTAGCTTGGGCTAAAGTGTTATACTGGTGGTGAGTTAGTCAAGTCATCCTTAAATCTTAATTTACCATAATTATGGTGCATATTTAGAATGATATTTATAAAACCATTCAATTATACATAAGAATAAATGCAAAAATGCATGAATGTAATAAGGAGAATTTACCATATACCAATTATTAACAAAGAAAATCTTTATTGAATTAAAAATTATTTCTAACCAAATCCAATATTATATCCATGAAAAGTTTAGAGTTTATTAAAGAAAGAAATCCCTAATTTGTCGATATTGGCTTTACACTTCATTAAGAAAATCTAGCAGTTCTTGACCATATGTTCCTACTGGTGACACCTTTGTCTTTTATTATTCAACATTTTCTACCATGTCATTAGCTTTGTAAGCAACTATAGTGATTTAGTCAAGCAAGGACTCCAACTGGTCATTTTTTCTCACATATACCTCTTTTACTTACTCACATTCTACATTCACAGCCTCTATTTGTGTTTCAGTCTCAATCATAACTCCATTTAGCATTTGAATGTGCCTTTGTGCCTCAAAGTTTACCTCGTCATTTTCTTAAAACTTTGCTTGCAACTGTTCATTTTCTTTCAAAAGTTAGGCTAGTTTTCTAGTGATGGATGACTGTGTTATGTTTAGGTCAGTGAATAGACTCTTCCATTCATCATTCTCTTATTTGAGTGCTTGAACTTTCCTTTTTAGCTTTTTTGTTTGTAAGTTTTAACTCTTCAGACTCCCTTTTCAAGCCAATAGAGGACTTTACTAGGCTTTTTCATAGATGTAACTAAGATTCTTCTTATTAGAATTGTTTTGTGATAATTACTCTTTATGATAAATTTAATGATGTGAATGCATGCATAGTAAAAGAAAAGGATTAGTATACATATAATATATATATATAAAATAATATATAAATACAAAAAACAACAAAAGAACAATATATAACTATAAAGAACAACATAAAAGGTTAGTATGCAAATAATATATACAAAAAACAATATATAAATTTAAAAATTGAATATATATCTCATCATATGTTTTATTTAGGATTTTTTAATACAAGGGAAGGTATGACTCTAACTTAGGTTCGAACCCTTGGGGTTTATTTACATGCTAGTTTGACAGTCTAAGGATTCTTAAATTGTTCATTACATCATTGTCTATTATAACTTAATAAGGCACCTTAATTCTCACTCATTATAGGTTTCGAACGAAAATAGTTCAATTTGAGTAGGAATATTTCGTTAACCCATGTAGAGTCATGAAATCTCATGAAAGATGAAACTTGGGTGTAGAACTCATATTATGCATGTGCAAATGGATGACAGGTATAAAGAATAAATAAATAATGTATAAACAAGGAGAAAAATTCTTAAATTTATTAAGTTAGGCTTGGATAACAAGAAATCATTTACTAACTTGACTCTCGATGTCTCCAGTAGAGTCACCAAACTATCATAACTCTGAAAACCTATCGTTAGACATAGACTTAAGGAGTTGCCACTAATATTTTTATCTAGGTGTGATTGACCACATAACTGAATCTATCTCATTTAAAAAGAAGTTCTAAAATTGACATAAGTATTTTTAAATAGTAGATTCTAGTCTATAAAATCATATTTTAGGTTCGATAATACAATTATGCATGAAGAATGTTATAACACCCTCACAATGCCCATTCGAAAAATGATACTAGTTTGATTTCAAGTTATCTAAGCTTTAGAACATCTTTATAATTTACCAAAAAATTTAATTATTAAAAATTAGTCTTAAAATTACTCCAATAGTTTGGTATGAATTTAAGATAATTTTCTCACCTCAAGAGTATTCATGAAAGCTATTGTCCCATTTTAAAAAAACTCCGTTGTTGGAATCATTTAATTTTTATGAAAAAAAAAACTTTTATTTGTGATAACCAATCAAAATTTAATTTTTATAAAGAGACAATTTATTTTTATAAATATCTTCTAACATATTGGTAAAATTTTCTATCAAGAATTATCTTCTAATATGTTTGTAAAATTTTTAAAAAATATTTGCTTGAAAAAACTTATTAAGTCCTCCAATAGTTTGATAAGATTTAATTCAAGATTTAAATTCTCCAATTGTTTGATTTTTATTTTTTTGAAAACCTTTTTTTAAAAATTTGAAAAAAAAATTAATTAAAATAGACAAAAATTATAATGCAAATAATATCAAGCATTAATATAAATATCATGCAATAATATAATATATCATGCAACAAATCATGCAATAAAGTATCAAGCAAAATAAAAAATATCTTGCAAATATTAATTAATTATGCAAATATAAATCACACAAATAAAATAATATATAACCCTGCAATCAAATATAATCACACAAATAAATATAATAATCATGTAATTAAATATATTAATGATCATGTAGTCAAATTAATTATAATCATATCATGTAATAAATATAAAATCATATCATGCAAATAATATAAAATCATGCAAATATATATATTATAGTTAATATCAAAGTTTTTTCTTTTTCCTCATTTTAATTAACTCAACTACAATAAATATATAATAAGCAAAAAATTAAAAAATAAAACAAAAAATTAAAAAATTAAAATAAATAAAATAAAATAAAAAGAAAAAGAAACTATGGTTGGGTTGGGTATTTACTAGGTTAACGTGTGGATCCACGTGAGTTGGGATGCAAGTCAGGCTTTGCAAAATGGCACCATATCACCTTGGGTATAAAAGTTAAAAATTCACTTATTTTTCTCAAAATTCCCTTTTTGCTTCTCTCTCTAAACCCAAAACGCTCTGACTTCTCTTTAAAATGCCCCAACCAAAAACCTTCAACCATTTCAAAAAACAAGCCAAATTCCTAAATGCCAGTGCCTAAAAATTCAAATGGTGCCGAGAAATTCATGCCAAACCTAAAGCAACCTATCAACTCAAATTTCGACTGCCATCAAATCCTCCAGCCACAATGAAAGTTGCCAAAAAAACCAAACTTCACTTGAAAATTCAAACAATAAACCCAAGAAACCCAAAAATTTTTTAGAAAAAAACTATCAAACCCAAAAAAATTCAACAATTCTAGAAAAATCCTACAAATCTACTAAAACAGATTCTAATCCAAAGATTTAAGATTCCGCAAAACAAAACAAAACAAAAAAAAAACCTAAAATTATTTTTGAAACAACCAAGAATTAAACCAATTTTCAGACCCAGAATCATTCACAAGAACCCAAAATTTTGAATCAAAATAAAAATTCCCATAAATAAAAACTAAACCCAAAAAATTAATTGCTAGAATTTGTTATGCCTCTTGTCTCTTCTTCTTTCCCCCTATGTGTGGTTTCTGTTAATCTGTTTATAAGGATTGAATCATTTTAATTTGAAAAGAATAATTCAATCGAATCACAAATTTTCTTCTGTGATTGATCTTTTATGATTTGATTCCTTTAACTTTTCCTTTTCATGCAAATTATGAAGTGTTGTGATTAATTTACATATTTGATTCCCATGATTTTCAGATTTCACGTTTTTTCTTTCCTTTTCCTTTTCCTTTTTCTTGTTTTTTTTTCCTAATTTTCCTTTTCCTTTTGTTTTTGTTTTTTTTTTACTCTTTACTTTTTTCCTCTTTTTCTTTAACTAAAATAAATTACAAATTAAAATCAAAACTAAATTAAAAAAAATCTAAGCCTAAATTAAAATTGAAATTAAAATTAAATTAAAATTTTTTTAGCTTTTATCTTATTAGGTCTGGAGTTTTTCAATTAAGACTCAATTTACAGTTGAAAGCTTGTTTTTTATTTTGAAATTTTTTTTGAATAAAATAGTGTGTTTACAATAAAATTTATACTAATATAAACAAATCCTCTTATAGTATATATTTAATATTAATCAATAAGGTTCTAGTTAATTTTTTGTTTTGATTTGGATTTCTAATATTTAATTTGTGAATTTAATATCATGTTGGGTTCGAATTAAACTAGCATCTATACTATTACATACTAAGATTTACTAAATTTAATGTTAATGTAATAAAATAAGTATTTATAAAAAACCCTTTATAAAACAAAAAAAAAAAAAAAAGTAAATTATTACAATTTGGAGATAAAAGAGAAAATGAATTACCATTCTTACAAAAGAGAAAAAGAAAAAGAAATAGACACGAAACAAACAGTCCCTAAGAAAAGGTGCATGGGTAGCTCCGTTTGTTAATTTTAGGCCAACTCCCAATGCCCAAGCGGGAATTTTCCAATGCTCATTTCGTTAAAACCAAAGCAAATCGCACCATAAAAGCCCTTGCTTCCACAAATCCACTAAAATTCTTTTCTGCTAACAAATAGAGACGGTGATGAAGAAATCGGCTAACTCCAACGCCACTGCCACCGCCCAAAGCCTGACCTCCCAGGAGTCTCACTTCCTCGTCCGCGAAACGCTGCGCATCAGCGCCAACCTGGCGTCAAATGTGGGTGTAAGTAGCAGTGGTAGTAGCCGCAGCATGAACGACGGAGCCGCGATTCCATTGATGGATGAAAATCGGAGGATGGGATTGCTGGGTGATGAATTTCTAGAATCAAGCTCGAAATTGATATGTTGTGAGGAAATTGACGGCAGGAGATGGATGTACATGGCTGAGAAAGATCCCTTTGGCAATTTCAAGAACAATTCCATTCGCACTCTCAGTTTGCACACCCCTCAGACACCTCTTGATGTCAGTTATTTTTCCTTTTTTTTTTTTTTTTGCATAAAGAAAATTAATTAATAGTAAATAACTTGTGCTATTTGCCATTTCTTAAGATCTTAAACTTACTGTTGGATTTGCATCTGTTTAGATATTATAACACTGGCATTTTGCTGACTTGGACTAGGTTGAGACACCGAGAATCTCAAGCGCGAGTTAAACTCAAAATAATTCGCTGCACAAAACTAGGCTCGAGTTCAATTGAGTTTTAATTTTAAGTTCGAGGTTGACTCAAAATAAAAATTGAGTGATTCGAGCTTGTTCAATTAGGCTCGAGTAATAAAAAGTGAGCTTGATCTTCATACTTGATTATTTATTCGAACTCGAGCTCAAGCTCAAGCTCATATATATATATATATATATATATAGTAAAATAATTATTTTTTAAATTAAAATAATAAAAATATATTAAAATTTAAAAGTTTGATTAGGCTCACGAGCTATTAAAGCCAAACATTAGGATGCTCAAATTTGGCTCGCTTGATAAGTCGAGTTGCTTGAGCTTGACTCGACAATGACCGAGTCGAATTCGAGTTTTATCCAAGCCGAGCCTGAGTAGCTTGCTAGTATTGTTGTATCATTTACACCCCTAACTTGGACTGTGGTTCAATTGAATGTGCAGGAATTGATGTCATTTGTAAGGTCATATGTGGTGCCTGAGGGCTTTCCTGACAGTGTTACTCCTTCATACGTGCCATACATGACATGGAGAGCATTGAAGGTAGGTTTTTAGCATATTGGAAAGCCAAGAACATTACAAGACTCAAGAATTGCCCATGCCTCTCAATTTAGCATTTAAGCATCAATTAATACCATACTGATTACCATTGTGTTCAATGCAGTACTTCTTTGGTGGAGCAATGAGTGTTTTCACAACGAAAACCCTTTTGAGCTCAGTTGGAGTCTCTAGAAATAGAACTACACCTGCCGCTGTTGCTATCAATTGGATTCTCAAGGTAGGGAAGACATAAGATATTTGAAGTTAGCAACATGCTTGTGAGCTGTTTGTCTTAGCACATCTTGAATTTCTCATATTGGTATCTTCTCTGGCTGGCATTTTGTTTCTCATATTAGTTTTTCCTCTGGCTGAGATTCAAAACATGTTAATAATTGCCATTTTGTTGATCAAACAGTGAGGTTTATCTGCAAACTCAGGCGTGTTATTGGGAATTTGTGCTCAGCTATGATACTAAAATGATCCTCTATATAGAAACTGGGTTCTATCTGGAGATTGTGGTTCCCTCTTTCTAGTCATGTTATGCAGATGTCCTTATTATGTTGAATTTCTACGTAACCCTGTTATTTAGCAGTTCATTTCTGAGTTCCATGCAGACCTTAGATCCACTTTGCTATTTTAATCCTTGTACTATGCTGCACCCTGCATTTCTAAAATATTCGCTTGCAAATGCATAATGTAATTTTCAGTGGTTGGTGTTGATTTGTTGAATGGCTTCTGTAATATTAAATTACCATAGACAGCTGCTTTTCAAAGGTAAATATGTTAGTGATGTTTACATGGTCCTGGTAATTTTTCCTAAAACAACTGTGAGTTGTTTGATCAGATGAGTTTCTCTTTGAACATAACTGGCCAGTAAGTGCTTATGATGGCTGTTCATGCTGGCAGCTTGTCAAGTAGTTTAAAGCTTATATTCACTTGTTTGCTGCAAGATTCAAAGCTGGTGAATTCTTTTTTATAATGCTGGAGGATAAAGTTATAATTTCAGATTTTTTTTAAAGGAAAACTTGGTTGTGTACCTAACTGCTTGCAAAAATTTCTTTTTCGTGGATATTGGCATACTGCTTGTAGGAAGGAAAATAAGAGTGTAAGGTTTCTGTGGCCTTATGTTATAATTACAGTTTACTTTTTCCTTAAGTGAGCTGCTAATTGCCATTTCAAAAATTAAAACATCCACTTAATCCATCTAAAAAGAAATGTCTCAATGCTCACTTTCACTCCTTGTTGGCGTCTGTAAAGCATTCAAGAAGTAATTTAATAGAATTCATTAAGTAATCAAACTGCTGTAGTTTCAGAAATTTTTTGTTTATAACCTTACATAAGTCTTTATCCTTTTATATTATTTCCTTTTGGGCTTGTCTTTTTGTATTGAATGTGGTATTATTAAAAAAAAAGGTTAGTCCAAACTGACAGTCCATCAAGCTAAAGTTTCACTATGCTTGCAGGATGGTGCTGGTCGTTTTGGTAAAATGCTTTTTTCCCGGCAAGGAAAAAAATTTGATTATGATCTAAAACAGGTAAATATTTTTATGATGGAGGTGGTAGAAGTGGCACGTTCTTTTCTCGGGAAATTCTTACTTGCAATGTCTTATAGCTTCGGTTTGCTGGTGACCTTCTAATGGAGCTGGGTGCTGGGGTAGAGTTGGCAACTGCAGCTGTGCCTCATCTTTTTCTTCCTTTGGCCTGTGCTGCGAATTTGGCAAAGGTTGAATTGTTTTCTATACAATACAGGTTTCTGTGGCCATTTAACTATTGCATTCTTATTTTTTGTTGCTTATTTGTAGAATGTTTCTGCTGTAACATCAACATCAACTCGGACACCAATTTACAAAGCCTTTGCTAAAGGAGAGAACATTGGAGATGTCACAGCTAAAGGAGAATGTGTTGCCAATATTGCAGATCTGGTATGCTAATAAATGTCATGATAGCTTCAAGTACTGTTCTTTGCACAAACATAATTTTCTCTTAGGGTTAAAAAGTTCTAGAACAATAATGATATGGGTGGCAATGCAAAGAAAGATGAAGAAATGACTACATCCGTTAACAAGAGAAATGATGTGCCAATGGAAATCATGATGAGTGAAAGTTGCTTGGAAATGTGCAATGTAGATGCAAGTAGCAAACTTGTTAAGCATTGGAATAATTAGAAGGAACTAAATGAGGAAGGTCAGAGTCCAAAAGTACATTGAAGCTATGTTGCCATGACTCTTTATTTTCCCTGTAGTTCTTATGTCTGTCACATATCCATTGGACATGAGTATTGAGGTCTGACCCTCCAACTACGAGGAAAAACTTGGAAAAAAAAATCATATATACTCATGCCAGACACATACCCATAATCCTCACTCCCAAGTCTGAGTAACATAGTATGGAGGAAACAGACAAGCTGAAAATTAAAAAGACGGTTTTTCTAGATGGTGTACCATGGAAAACAGATATGTTTTGTTTGATTGAATGAGAGATTGGTGCGTCACAAACTCTTTAACATATTGAGAGTTCCCTCTGTGGCAATGGTGAATGCAATGTCCATGATAGTCAGGTGTTTTGTGTCAATTTTTTGTGCCGAAAAAGAGCACACCTTATGTATTAGCTAGATGTTCGATGCTGCTGCATTATGGTTTAATACTTTTAAATTCTGTTTACACCTATGGCACACAAGAACCATTTTCTGTTGTCCACAATAAAAGCTAAAAAACAAAGAATTATGTCTGAATGCATGTGATTTGCTCACAAATTCTTGTACTGGAACTTAGTGTAGATAGATTAATTGCCATTTCTAACCTAATCTAAGTCAAAATGTTGACGAATCCTCTCAATATTTGACTCAAAATGTTATTTAATTCTTGTTAAGCATCCAACCATAAACCATTTGACAATAGGTTGGGGGACAAAACTTGAAAATAGTAGCACAAGAAACTTAGATTAACACCACTTGACAACCCCCTTATTTCATTGTTTATGGAATAGCAACTTAATTATTCTAGAACCTAAGATTAGAGATAGAGATCAATTATTGAATAAATTTAGTAAACCTTAAGGGAATATATTTCACAAGAATGTATTACAAAAGAGAGGATGGAGAATGAATTCTCCTACAAAGGTATTTTACAAAGAGAGGCGGGAGGAAGGAAGTTTCTATCCTTGCTTTGAGAAGTAGGACTTCCTTATAGAGTAAGCTACAAACAAGAGGACACAAACATCACTATTTTATAGATTGGCCTTTTTCATAGGGTTACTCTTAATGGAGTTTTCCTAAAGGCTATGTCTAGACAAAAACGTCACTATCTTACACGGGACAATTCTAAAAGTAGATTTGTATGTTTTTCAATGAAAGTTTGTGAACTTGTTTTCTTCCTTGAGTTCCATCCATTGGAGTGGGTCCTTGTCTTAGGATGTTGTGCCTTGGTCTTCCAAATATTTTAATAGGTCTAATTTGCTAGTAAGGTTTTCATGGTAGTGGGTTTACTTCGAAAACATGGTTGATATTGAAAGATTCATCTAGGTTGAGTGTCCTTGGAGGTCAATAATTGGAGTATTTGCTTTCATAATAATTTGTCTTGGTGCAGGTGAACAATATATTTCTATGGGGTGCTGTTCTCATATTTGGCCCTCCTCAAGGTAGGGCCACTTTTCAGGAAATGGGGCTTGGTTTAGTTTGCGAAGCAGCTTTTAAAGTGCTTTGCATTGGCTGGGGTGGTCATATTCTCCATAATGGTCAAATCACTTTGCAAAAGAGTTGCAGAGATGAGACATTCCAGCCAATGGGTGCTCACCCTGAACATCTTTTATCAGTCTTCTCCAAATTCCATTTTACCTACAATGGCCAAAAGAACTCTGGATTCTTATGGTACCTTTGCCAAACTCGTATAATAATAGCCATTGAAATACAGGCTTACCAATTCAGGGTTGTTCTCCATTTCATCGAGGCAAAGTTACTGTAGGAAAACACAAACCATAAGAGTCAGACCTTGATTGTTGACACCGTATGCCAGGAGGGCATTGAGGTCCTTTGTGTCGCCTAGAATACCTTGGTTTTTGAGTTGCCTTTCTAGAACATGTTACATTCTAGAGTTGCAGCTCCTAGTCTCCCTATCGCAGTCACCTCTATAGTGCTCTTTGGAGGCATTTGTAATTAAAATTTTACAGATATCACTAAATTGTTAATAAGTCACCTCAGAGCTTCGTACTTGTATCTTATGAATGTTGGAAATTTTTTTGTCACACAGAAGAAAATGTATTTGGATTTTGAACTTTTGCAATTATGATATCTGTCTCGCATCAAGCCTTCTAATATTTTATTTCCAGTATCCTTGTCAATTTTTCATGTATAGATTATCGTGCATGATATGTTTGTCTTTCTTTATTCTATTATGTTTAGAAATTTGTGGTTTATCAACTGAGCCATTTAATTTTGGTTGAAGTTGGGAACTGGACTGAGCATTATGATCTCGAAAAGAAACCCATCGTTAGTTACTACATTTGCTCTCCTTTCATGCGGATATCTCTTCAGTTCTTACACAGAGGTTGGATTATGCACTAACATTTTCATTATTTTTGTTTAAAAATCGTCTGCCATTTTTTTTTTTTTTGTTTGTGAAAGTTCATATTCTGCTAATAGCTTTTGATAAGTTTCTTTCCAGGTTAGATCTCTGGTGCTAAACACATTAAATAGAGCTAGATTCAGTGTGGCAGTAGATTCCTTCCTTAAGACTGGTTAGTAGAACTGTAATAGAATTTCACTGTATTTAGACCATATATTATTTCTGTTCTTCTAGTCAATGACATTCTTAATTATATGACTTCATTGTGTTTCTTCACATTGCAGGGAAAGTTCCCTCATTGCAGGAGGGAAATATGCAGGAAAATATATTCAGTTTTCCATGGTTGAAGGACAGACCTGTTATTCTTGGTGCGTACTAAACTGTGTTTTAACAGTTTTCCCTGACAAAAATCTCTCTAGTATGGCTATCTTATTTGAGTTAATCTAAATTTGTCCCATTATGGCAGGCTCAAGATTTAAGGATGCTTTCCAAGATCCCGGGGCCTATCTTGCTATAGAACCTCTCTTTGAGGTATGCTCTTTTAAAAAGGATATTAATTGAATTTCAAGGCTCTCTCCCCACAAAGCATGTATACGCGTACATGGATGATTAAATTAGAAGTTGTATTGATTAATTTCTCCATTTGGTGTGATGGTTTATCTCTTGATTAATGGCAGAAAGAAAAATATATAGTGACATATGATCCTTTGAAGGAGAAAGTATATGCATTGTTCAAGGATCAAGCAAAGTCGGATGACATTCTAAAAGCAGCATTCCACGTAAGATAATTTTATTTACCTTATATACTTGTTATGTTAGCTAACCAAATTTTGCTTGCATATATTGGTTTTTAGCTGTAATTCCATCTTATATTACAGGCACATGTGCTCTTGCATTTCATTCGTTCGTCAAATAATAGTCAATCTTCATCTAGAAGTCAGCAAGAACATGGTCACTCAAATCTTATGCCCACAACTGCTGATTTTGAGCCTCATATTGCTGATTCATGTAAGATGGTTTCAACATCATTTGGACTTTTCAAGAACAAAGCTGCTGAACAGGTAAGCCATTCTTGTTAGAAATATGCCATTATGTTGTTCATACTGTTTGATTTATAATTTATCCTTTTGTATTTACCAATCTTGCCCTTCGGCTGATTTTGAGTTAGTGAAGTTTGATGCTTATGAGTTCAAATATAAAGATGGTTGGTTATACCTTTTCAAATGTCCCATTTTGTATGCGGTGTTCTTTAGAATAATCTAAATAGTCTAAAAAAACCTAAATAAATACAAAGTTACAATCAAACCCATAAAATATATAATAAAGTCCTAGATTACTTAATCTCTCAACTAGCATATCTTCATTCTCCATCATGTTTGGCTGCAACTTTTTCACTGTGAATCATGGTTGCAATATCTCCTAGACATTAATTAGTGTTGAAGCAGTGGTAATATCTGTCCTCCAGAAGAAGTTAGTAGGTTATTTCAGGGCTTACTGTGGTATTTATGGTTGAAAATTACTTGCATCTGCAAATGCTGCACTTCTTGTGGGCAGTTTTGTAAGGCGTACCGTTGCTACCCATATTGTTGTTGATCCCTTACTGATGATCATATTGTGTATATAGATTTCTCTGCCTCGCATCGCATGTTTATAATTTGCATTTCTGCATGTCATTATGATCCTTTTGACATGCGTATCTTGTTGTCTGGTAGGGTTGGAGGATGTCAGATTCGCTTCTTAATCCAGGTCGAGCTCGACTGTGTTAATGGGCTAATTAGGATTAACATCCTTGAACTCTTTTGCTTATCTGAAATTGGGGGTTGAATTGCAAACCAATATCTGCGTTAATAGACATCAATGACAAGAGCATATACATGACAAAAGAGGTTCAGAAATCAGAATTGGTCATATACCAACGAGACCATTGGTCTGTTTGAGCTGGTTAGCCTGTGCAAGCATCCAATTTTCTGCAACTTGGGCTTTATATGTGGAATGCATTTTCAGGAAAAAGATGACATACACAGTGATGTTATATAAGCTAATGCAGCATTACAAATAAGTTTCAATATCATAGTGTAACATCAGTACCAAATTGTCTTTCTTTGAATCCTTTTTTTTTTCCTTTTTATCTCTTATAGAGGAATTGTGGAGGCTTGTGTGAATAGTTTGAAATCCATTTACATAGTAATTAAAATTTATCTTGGGGGGTCAATATTCCCTCTCTTTTTTTTCTTTTCCCTGTGTCCGTAGGAGCAGTTGTTGCCAAATGCAGTTCGTCTATGGTACACAGCTGGACTCTGGCCATGTGGTTAGACCAGCTTTGTTGGCAAAAATCAATTCTGGTGTTGGCTTTGCAGCCTTACAAATTCTGTTTGGGATTTATAAAATTTAGATTAGACAATTTATATGATGACAAGATAAAAATTACATATAAAAATATATAATTTAAAATTTTAATAAAAATTATATAAAAATTAATAAAATTAAAATTATATATTTTTTATTTTTATTCCAATTATGATAAATTTTGTATAAAAAATAATATAAATATATGTATTATTAATATTATGATAAACAAATTTCATATAAAATATAATATAAATATATGTATTATTAATATTTTGTATCATATAAATTTATCCCAATTAAAGATATAAACAAAAAAATGAGGATACAGGGGAAAGGCTGAAAATCATGATTGATGGGATACATCATTCATTACATTGCATGACAGGTGGGTAAGGATGTCATTTCGGTGGCAGAAATGCTGACATTAATTATTTCCTCAAGCATATTAAATATGGCTCACACTATCATGCTGGCTTCCTCATAAATGAGCGAGCCCTATATTTCCTTCCATATCCTTCTCATTTTCAGCGGTAAAAAATTAAATATATGTGATATTTGCCAAATTATTACATTTTTCAGTGATTATAAATTAAAAATTTTTACTACTTTTAATAATTTATTTAACAAATTACTTAATGAAGGGTTTTCCATAAAAATTTGTTAAAGTCTAAAAATTTTGAAGCCTATTTTTATTTAACAAATATTAATTTTTTTATTAATATTAAATCATAATAAAATCACCGATAAAATAATTATTTTTTAATCCAATGATTGAAAAAAGATTTGTGAGACGTAATTAGAGTTTGAATCTAACCAATTTCACTCTCATCCTCAATTTAAAATAATCTTAATGAAATCAATCTATATCTTTTGTAAAATAATTAATACAATATTTTGTTAATATTTAATTTTTGATAATTTATCAAACTATGAATTTAATACAAATATGATATAATTACTAAAAAAATCAACATTTTCAATTTATCAAACAATTACAACCCTCATTTTGGGGATAGATAGGACTTGTTTATGGGGAAATGACAATGGGAATTGGTGGTGATTCGAATAAAAGTTAATGAAATAAATAATAGCATACAGCAACACATATTCATTGATAGGAGTGGTTTGATGGGTTAATAATTGAAAACACAAGATATATGCAAATAAGACTAGGCCTCATTAAAAAAATAATAATAATAAAAAAAACCACACCTCTTTAATGAAACACGTGATGTAACTGATGTTAACACACACTTTACTTGAATATGTTAAAAAAAAACCCCTTCATTTACAAGGTTTACCTAACTTACTTTTACCCGTCTTTATATATGGTAGTCATTATAAGTGTAAATAATACGTCCTAAGTTACTAGAATAAAATTTAAGTTTGATTTAATTATAATTGAATTCTAATAATTTGACTTATGATGTAAATAAAGTTTGAGTATTTAAACATTCGATTCGAATTATTTAAGAATCTAATTAAATTTTTATATTTTAATATATATTTTAATTATTTTAATTAAAAAATTATTATTTTATTTATATATATATATATATTAATTCAAGCTTAAATTAAAACGTATAATAATCGAGTTAAAGTCAAACATAAGAATCAAACTCATTTTTTATTCGGTAAACGAATTTAATTGAATAAACTTGAATAATTCGATTTGTATTGCGAATAGAGTTGGAGTTTGAAATTAAAACTCAATTAAATTTAAATCAAATTACGAATAACAAATTTTTAATTAAACTCAAACTTCTCAACAAATTTGACTTGGCTCGATAACATTCTTAATAATCATCAATGAACAATTGTTTTCCCTCCGTTTAAAATGAATAATTTTCAATCACGTTGTTTAACTTTTTATTATGATTCAACTTCAGTTTTTAATTTTTTTAATTGTTTTGTTGAATGATTTCTCAACCTTTTAAAATATGATTTCATTTTGATGTGTTTTTTTCAGATTTTTTACTAATAATTAAAAAATAATCAGGTATCGTGCCAAAAGAATGTCTATGTGATGGATCACATAAGCTACAAAATGAACATTATGTTAGTATTAAAAGAATTATTTGAAGGAAAGATCAAAATAAAAGTATTTAGAAAAAATTAAGAAACTCAAATAGAACAATTCAAAAATTGGAAACTAAAGTGGATTCAAAATAAAAGCTTAGAAACCATAACTGAAATTTTCCTGTTTAAAATAAACAATAATATTTTTTTCCACAATTGAAATCATTTAACAAATTACATTGATAACAATAAAATTAAAGAGCAAACAACAAAAAGCATGGTTTGCAAACTAGCTAGCTAGTTGAATTTAATCAAATCAGCATGGGAATCAAGTCCAGATCATTTTCATGAAAATGGGTTATGTATTTTTTTTTTTTGTGGCCAAAAAATGGGTTATGCAATTAAAGATATATATATTTATATTTGTTCAATACATTAGCATCACAATGACAACTAATAAGTTATTGTATTAAATATGAAAATTAATATTTTCTTAAATACTGGTAAAACATGAAAATATATATTTGTATTTATTTTTAAAAATATTCTTACTTCATTGCAGGTTATATAATAAAAATAGGTTAGCTGGGAAAACTTGAGTAGAAGATAGAATGATTATTAGAATGTAATGTTAAACAAATTATTAAAATAATGAAAGGTTAAAAATGTTTAATTATTGAAAATTTTAAAAAAGAAAAGATATTGTCACTTGTCATATAATGGTTAAGCCAATAGTTGATCACTCATGTAATGTCTTCTAATGTGAATGATAATTATTTTTTTACAAAATATATTGCGATATGGGATGCAACATCGAATCGTAAATATTAAGATTTAAATTTTAAATTTATTAAATATTGTTTTTTAGAGTATAAATCAACTACATTAAGCTTTAAAATCAAATAAATTATAAATTTAATGCCTACTAATGTCAATAAGTAATAAAAATATCACCTAATATATCTGAGTTGTTGCTTTTATTTTAATTAATTAGTTTGTAAATATCACCCTTTGTACAGTAGCTACCAAAAAGAATCCAAGTTTTTTGGAAAGGAAGGACAAAATATGGTGGGTTAGCTTAGCTGTTATTAATAATTATTTAATTAAAATAAGTAGTATTTCTGTATTTCTATTTGTAAGCAAACATTAACTATAAATAAAATAATTCTATTTGAAAGTAATTAAACAAACATGTAGTATTTTGGTTTTCAAGAGATAAGACAGCTACTAGTTTAGAAAACATCAAACTTTTACATATATATTGTTGCAGAACACATAAAAAAAAGACAACTAATCATCTAATGATCACAAAATTAATCACTGAGGGCCCTTCTTCTTCCTCTGTAGATCATTAAAAATATTAGTAATTGGTACAATAATCCATTTCTACAGTTCATGCATGGATTTGCAAAACACATTACTAGCATACTATCATTAACTGATTAACTGAAACACAAAGTAAGAGTAAGAGAGATAGAGCGGAGAGATACTGATTGATTTGGTGTTTGATCACGGAGCAGTAATAGTGGTAGTAGTAGTAGCAGTAGTAGTAACAGCGGCGGTGGAAGAAGGGTTTTTCCTGGCTAGACTGTGCTTGTTATTGTGCATCCATACCTTGAGGACTCTTCTTTTCACTCCAATCTCTTGGCAGAACTGTTGCACAACAGCTTCTTCTTGCTTTTGGATTTTCCACCCAACTTTCTCTGCAAAGTCAAGCATTTTCTCCTTCTGTTCCTGTGTGAACTTTGTCCTAAACCTTTTCTTCATTACCTGGGCTGGCCTGCCCACTAACCCACCACCATCTTCGGCTTGTTCATCAGACTCTGAAGGGAGGGAGCCCATGTTGTAGGACATTATCATCTGGTGGGGTGTTGGTGCTGCTCTTGAGTGTATAAGAGTACCTGTAGGGTACCCTAGAGCCTCAGGAGGTAGGATACTCTTGTGGTGACCTAAGATGACTTTCCTTCCAACCCTGCTGAGATGTGGGCCATGCAATGGGTAAAAATCACATGAAGAGGGCTCACCTTCAATTTCTTTTCGGTGGAAGTTTCTGTGGCAGTTACAGGCTGAGCAATTCAGTGCTTCAATGGTACCCTCCTCACCACTGGGCATGAACTCACCACAGCCATCAGTGGCATTGCCTCCCATGGCTGCTGCATGGTTCTTGAGGCACTCTCTGTACCTGACCACTTTCTTGTAGGGCACATGATCATCTAGGTTTGTGGACAAGGAGGGGCCAGTGGAAGGGATTTGGGGTGCTGAGGAAGGTATGATATGGTTGTGGGGTGCAGGATCATGATGGATCATGTGCCCGTGCCCATGCCCATGCCCATGTCCCCCACCATATGAACTGTTCAATGGAATGGGGATCTCCCCTACTTGACTGGAAAGTTCCATTTCTATGTAATATATTTTATTTGTGTTCGACTTTGGAGGCCAAAAGAGGAAGAAGTAGACAAGGTTTGGTTGAGTGTTATGATAGAAGGGCAAAATGATTGAAAAAATTGAAAGAGCTTTCTTTCTTTCTTTAAAATCCTAGGAATTTTCTTGACAATTTGTCAACTCAGTCAGCAGCAACACAATAGAAAAACTATAAACTATCAATTCTTGACACTGAGTCTGAGAAACCCTTCTTTCATGAAAGCCCACCACCCCAAAAATGAAAAATACTTCTTGATAAAAAAAAAAAAAAGTGACAGAGAGAGAGAGAAGGATGACCCACTATATATGAAATTGCAGATAAAAGCTTTGAACAGGTTATTTGAGAGAGAGAAGACTTTAAAACAGTTAATGTGTGTGGTGTGGTGGACAGTAAGGGATACTTTTGATGATCCAAAGAACAAAGGAAGAAAAGAAAAGAGTCATCAACAGCTAGCTTAGACTTTGAATGTCCATCTTATTGTTCTCAAATGTCAACTGGGAAAGCAAGAAGAAAAACAAAACAAAAAGAAAGCAAATTCAGTATCACTGTAGACAGGAGCTGGCAAGCAGAGCAGACCAATTAATTTGTCTCTCTACAAGTTGTCCAAAGTGAGAGAAACAAAGCAAGTGGTGTTGACTCAATGTCTCCCTTGGAAATAAAATGATGGCTCAAGGAACGTCACCGTGACTGACATTAATAAGGCAAAAATGGGAACATATAGAAGAGGGTGGTGAAGGGAGAAAGAGGTGAAGAAGAGAGAATAGTAATGGGAGGTGGGTTTTGGTAGTGAAGCACTATAAACGAGAGCTTAGACATGTAGTGATACCCAAAAAGAAGAGATAAAGAAAAGCAGATTTTTTACTGGCAAAGAGGAATAGAGTTAGTTTAAGCCAAGAGAATTGCACTAAAAATAAAGGAAAAAAAGGTGGGGTGCCTTGCATTGCTTTGCTTGCACTATCAGCCATCAAGTTTACGCCATTTAGAGAGCAGTGTGTCAGAGGGTGCAGAAGACAGAGGAAGGTGAGAGAGAAATTAAAAAAAAAAAAATTATAAATAGAAAACAAATGTTTGCTCAAAAGAAATTAAAATCTAAAGCTAGCTATGCTTTCTTTTTGTTTCTGTAGGAAAGTTTAGTGTTAATTATGAATGCTGAAGCCTTTGCTTCTGAAAATATTCATTCAAGCACAGGAATAAATGTCTTTGCCCATTCATGTCTATTGCTTCATAAAATGATATCGTTCTCAACTTTAGCATGTACTTCACTATTATTTCCTTTCCTCTTTATTTTTATATACTATTTATTTACAAAATTAATTAGGGTTTAAATTAGCTTTTGTTAATTACTTAAAAATAAAATTTAAAATTTAATTTAATTGATTCATATAATTATTTTTTAAAAAATATTATTTAACAGATTTAAAATTTAAAATTTATACTATGATTTTTTTTTTTAAAGAACCATATAAGGGTTGACTTAGAACAACACAAAAAAAGGGTGATATCTCTGGTCTATATTTACTTAAAATGTGTAGTTGGGACTTGGGAGGTGCCATGCTTTATCATGTGAATGATTTATTATCAGCAATCCGATCTCAGCTTATAATTGAAGGAAAAACAAAAATGATTCATTTGTGTCAAATTGGAATGTCTCAAATAGCTCTTAAATTATAGTAAATTATTTAATATAATATCTTAATTTTAAAAATCTTTAATATAATATTTAAATTATGAATTTTTTAATTAATGTGTTATATACCTCTAATGTGATTAATTTTAAATAACAACATTTGATTAACAAATAATTTTTTAAATATCACATTAATTAATAAATTTATTATTTATGTATCGTATTAAAAAAATTTTAAATTCAAAGATCAAATTAAACATTTTATTATAGTTCAAAAACCGTTTCAAACATTAACCCCAAAAAAAGAAAATTTTTGCTTACAAAGTTGAGATGTTAATTGGTTAAAAAAAAAAAGAGATTATCATATTGTGTTTTGCATAAGAAGGCTTTTGATCAAATTGCATCTGATGAAATCAACTGTTTGTGGAATTTATTTTGAATGGAAATATTCTATCTTTGATCATTTTTAATCCTAATCCTAATGTAACGTCAAGGCTAAGATCATATGTAATAAGTTGCATTTTTCTTTATTTATTTAGCTTTAATATGCGCTTTGCAATTTTTTTGGAAGTTGGACACCTTATTTCAAACTGTGCATGTGCATGGAATATTACTATTGAGATGCAAAGTTTCTTTTTCTTATTTTTCACATTTTACTTGGACAAAGATTGATTATTATTGAAATCACTTTATTCTTTATTATCATCGATCCTTGCCTTTATTCCACACTCCACACCACATTTAGAGTCTTTATCCTTCTTTTGTTTTTTGTTTCTATCTCTCTTGTTTCTTCTTCCAGTAATCCTCTTCTCCTTTATCTTTTACGCCTGCTTTTTCTTTCCTAAAGCTTTTACAAACATCACCATTTAAAAATATAGAAAGAAGCTTTTTTTTTTTGTCGAAAAAAATTTAAAATAAGAGAAAGTTTTTATATTTTAAGATTAGGACCAATTGTAAATTTTAAAAATGATTATATCAAATTTATGGACCGTCCATTAAAACGATTAATAATAAAAATTGAATATAAATTTTATGAATAAAATATTTAATACTTATCAATTTAACCGACACTCATTGGTTAGTAAGAAGCATTTAAATTTGAGGCATGTATTAATTTTAGTACATATTTTTATTACTATGATTTTGAAATTGGATGGGAGAATGGTCCACAAGAATAAATGCTTGTTGATGACACAACCTTGATCACAATTTCCAAGAAGCTGAGAGCCAAATTTTATTTGTTTGAGGGAGGAACACATACATCCATCCATCCCAATCAGAGGCAGCCCAATTTCTGTGTGGATCATTGAGTGCATTGCATCTTTTGAGCTTAGAGATTAGATGATCAGGTACCAATTGGATAAATAGCTTCACCATGGTCTTATTCTTAATATATCACAATTACTCTCAATAATCAAAGCTTAATTAAGGAAGGTCCATGCCTATTTCATTAATTAGATCAATTTGGTCCCCACTAGCGTTCCCTTGATAGGAAATGATGAGATATTCTACCTTGAACATCAAGTAAAGAATTTGAATATGAGAATGAGCAAAGTTTAATTTATTTTTTTAAATAATTATTTTTGGAAAAAAATGTTTAATAGATTTGGATTTAAATTTCAATATTTATAATTTTTTTGTCTTATAAATTACAATTTTTTATTGAAAAAATAATGAACTTAAAAAAATTATTTTTAATACAAAAGAGGTCTATAATTAATAACAAAAGAATGGTTTACAATTATTAAAATTTAAAATTTAAAATTATTTTTTGAAAATGATTATATAAATAAATTAATTAAACCCTATTCAATTTTAAAGAATTATTTAATATAATAGTAGATTAAAAAGTAGGCAGCTTAGTTTATGATCATTTAGGTCATCTAGTCAACAAGTGAAGATTGTGGTCAATCAGCACAAGATTTCCCTCACATTTTATTACTTTTAGGAAGCCAACTTTCTTCTCATAATCCAATATTATTATTATTACCGCCAACCTCTCCCTTTTTCTTTACATGCCTCGTCTTAGGAAGCCAAAGCTTCCTTTCCATTTATCAATCATTCTTCATTTGCAAATCAAATCACGTACGTAGGTAGTCTCATTCTTTCCCTTTTCATCTTCATCTCACTCAACAACCCTCTATATAATTAATAATAATAATAATAATAATAATAATAATAATAATAATAATAATATTATTATTATTATTATTATTATTATGTTAACGAATTTATTAATAGTGTCAAAATTTTAATTCAATAATTAATATTTAATATTTAATACTTTCAAAATAAAAAAATTAATTATTCGACATTTAATATCTTTTTATTAAAAAAAAGATAAGAAAATATTTTAACATATAATGTGTTTTGTGCAACTAAAAATAATGAATGCAGTGCAATGTAAAGTAACAGTAAGAAAAGGGAGCACCACTAATGGCAGATTGGATCATTCTTGCTAACTTCATGCATACTCATGATGCTCATCATGATCAGCTGTCACTATGCACTGCTTTATCCATTTTCTCTTTATTTTCAGTAGCCTTAGTAACAAATGGGATCATCTTCATCTTCATCTTCAGGTTGCTTAAGCTTCAAATATTGTTCAGAAAATGGAAATTTCTTTTCTTCTACTATTGGAATTCGAAGCTATCTGCCAAGCCATCATTCTATCTCATTTTGCACTCATTGCTATTTAAATGCTTTTAATTCTTCAGTTGCAACTTTTAATCTGTCTCTGAAATTACCTACTGCAACATGCATTCTAGTACAAGGGCTAGCTCATTTTTTGATTTCATCATAAATTCTCCCTCAACAAAATACCAATTTCATGGAAACCTTTTAACTTTACTTCACATGTAGTTCATGTTCATGGACCACAATAATACCAATTTGGTGTACAATTTACAATACATATTTTTGCTCCAAGAAAAGAGAAGCTAACCCTGTGTCCAGAATTTTTTTTTCGAGAGTATTTACTTATAATATATATAAAAAATTGATGATGAATTTATTAATTTTATTGATGAAAAAAATTATTTTAAAAAAATTTTTCTTTCAAATTTTATTTTTTAATTTTGAAAGTATTTATGAACACCTTATCTTTACTATCCTGCCCCTATAAAATCATTAATACACTCGCCAAAGGCTGAAGATGAAACATATCATACTGTATCATATCATATGCAGTTTTATGATGAACTCAAACTGAAATGAGATATATTTCCTACCATTTTTCCCTCCAACTACCTTTCTTTTTTTAATAAAAAATTTTAAATTCAGGTCATGAAATTTAATAATTTTTTTTTGTAACTCTGCACTAGAAGCCTCTAAACTTGGTGGTGGTGT